AACTTACCCTATGGTTTTTTTAAAGTTTTATTTATTTGTTATTGTTATGGGCGTTTTTACTGAAATGGTGGCTTTCCTATGATTTCTGACCACCCTATGTCTTTTGATTGGAGCATTTAATTCATTTACATTTAAAATGATTATTGATAGGTATGTAGTTATTGTTATTATTTATATTTATGTTCCTTCCCCCCCCCCTTTTTTAAAGAAGTCCTTTGAACAGTTCTTGTAATATTAATTTGGTTGTGATGAACTCCTCTAGATGTTACTTGTCTGGGAAACTATCTCTACTTCAATTTTTTTTTTTATAATGCAAAAACAGATTTATTTGTACACACACCAATGAAGGGTAGCCGTTTTCTGTCAAACGGAGAAGGTTAAGACTCTTAAGGAGCTGATTTTGGCACCTACTACAATGGGAAGACTTGCTTTGTTGCCTTCAGATGTTAGGTCTGTTTACCTAACACTTCAGCAGGCTTTTTAAATGAGTCTTCCTCCTCCTGGGCCTGCTTTTCTAATTCCTTATGATATACACACTGGCCTTCCAGTTATTTGTGTTGTTCCTCTGTTTATCTAGGTATGTTTCCATGAAACTTAAGACAATAGATTCATTGTTGGCAGAAGCTATGGCCTTCAGGTCTAGCAGGAGCTTGGTTAACTGGTTCTCCAACTCCAGAGCAGACTTTAGAGCTTGAATGCCGGTTTCCCAGTTATCTATCTCAGGACTCTTAATCACCGGAAGGCAGATTTTACTCTCACATCCTCTTAGATATCTTAGGAATCGCTTTCCATGTTCCCTCTTCACCTCAGCTTGGTTTTCAAGGAATGCGGCAAAATGAGGTTCTCCTGGGCCTTCAATGTAGTAACAGCCCACAGATAAATAAGCATCACTGATGTGCAGCTCATAGATGTCACATGATCAATAGCAACCCTCCACTCTTCAGAGAGGGGGGTGCTTGGCTGCCATCTAGCTTTAGAGAACACCAGGTATAAACAGTGCTCTACTTCAATTTTAACATCACTTTTTTTTTTTTTTTTTCATTTTGAATGATCCTTGTGAGTGATCTATAGACCAGAACCTTGGGGAGAATTAGGGCAGAAGATCTCTCCTTCAATTTTAATTCATACCCTTGTTGGGTACAGTAGTCTTGGTTCTAGGTCTTTGTCACTCTTTATCACTTTAAATATTTTGTGTCAAGCCCTCTGGCCTAAAAAGTTTCTGTTAGAAATCAGCTGACAATTTTATGGGAGCTCCCTTGTAGTTAACTGGCTTTCTCTTGCTCCTTTTAAGATTCTCTCTGTCTTTAACCTTTGCCATTTTAATTATGATGTGTCTTTGTGTGTGCCTCTTTCGGTTCATCTTGATTGGGACTCTCTGTGTTTCCAGGACAAGTATGTTTACTTCCTTCCCCAGGTTAGGGAAATTTTCAGTCCTTAGTTTTCAAATAGGTAGATTCTCAATCATTTGCTCTCTCTCTTTCTCTCTGGTACTCTTTGATGCAAATATTTGTGTGCTGATGTTATCCCA